CATTTAAATTGAACAGCGGGGACAGAGAATTAATTGATACAGAACTTTTCTGTCCCCAGCAATCTAAAATTTATAGGGTTATCAGTGCATGAAACACAGATGTTTGTGCGAGTAAGATTATCACTGTCACTGTCAAGCAAAATGAAGCATTTAATAGTGAGTGCCATACCATGTGCATGAATCATACAAGTGGCAAGAAAATAGGGGCAGTCATGCATATCATAGTTTATGTAGGCAGTAAACACAGGGTCAATCAAAATGGACTCAAATGTCTATACACCAATGTATAGAGTAGGAGGAATAAACAGGGCAAATTAGAAATTCAAGTGAAAGAGGGCAGATATGATATTATTGCCATTACAGAATCTTGGTGGAATGAAACCTACAAATGGAATATACAGCTATAGAAGAAGGAACAAATAAAAAGATATTAATGTTATGTTTTTTTTTGTTTTAAACATATACTAATACTTTTATAAATTTTGCATAGTCACTTTACTAAGTAAAAAAATGTTCAATCAATACACTATGATTACCATTCTATATCGTGATTTGAAATGTAATAATATATATGCTGTGCTGCAAGAAATATTTTTCCTGCAGCAGTTCATATTGCCTGTCCATTTACTAGTTTTAAGTATTTCCAAGCAAAAAGTGATGCTCTCTCTCACACAACCACACACAGCATGCTCTTATATGCTAGGCAGAACTGTACTTATATTCTCAATTACATGGAAGAACAGCAAACCCAGATGGAGATGTCAATTTCAACAGGAAAAAAAAACATTGAAATGTACAGGGTTCACAAAGAGATTATATCAGAGTGAATAGCGCTCCCCTGGATGAGAAAAAAAGAAGAAGAAAAAGAAGTTTATGCAAATCTCAAAATAATCCTTATTAAACTTAAACAGTATATCTTAACATGCCTACTTGCATACATTGTGTGTTTAGTATTCTTTTTATGTCACCTTATTCAACAGAATGTGTTCTACAAAATCATGGGACATTGTTTAGCAGTGTCAGTCCCTCATTGGATGTTCACCAATGAGATAATTGTAACTATTTGGGGTACAATTTTTGCAGAGTCCAATGAAAAATTTCAGTAGATGCTAGCATTTTACTGAGCTTGAGACATAAACAAATCCTCTACTTGTCAACAATTTTAGAAGATTAGAGACAAAATCATGTAAGTATGGCAGATAATAGGCCTAGTTATTTGAAGGCATACAGAATCCATTAAGGGTGGACAAGTTTCTATTAAACTGTCATCTTTGCAATTTCAATCATTCCTAAGTCATCTGCTTCATTACAAGGAAATTCAAGAGCAGCCAAGGAGTCTATGGCTAATACGCTCCTTCTTAGGCCTAGAGAACTTTGCCCATTAATGAGCTTTTCAGTACATGAAAAGAGATGGCTTTTTTTTTGCAATCATGATGCATTAAAACTGTGTTCATAGGAGCCATCTCTAAATCTGTGTTCATGCCACTCTTCATACTGCTTGATTTATTTTACTACTACACGGTATACTGAGTTATATCTATAGAATAGTTGCTTTTTTATCTATACCATGCATCACAGGTAGGGAACACTTACCAGTAACAAAAAAAACCCTCTACTGTACAAATTCCATTCAACCATAAGAGAAGAAGTACTGTAAGTATGGTATACAAGATCAGACAGATGCTCCATCTTAGTCCAGCACTTTGTTTTTCACAGTGATGCCTCTGAAGAACTTCATTATTTTTATTACAGGATTAGGCAACGTTGAAAACTTTGCCAATTTTATGTGCAGATTTACTCAATCTGGTAATCCAGAGACATCAAACATCAGTTTCCATACACTGCCTGATATCACGCTCACTTTCCAAGATGTATTGCTGTTTTGACTAGTGAAAACCTATTAAATGCTTGCATGTGAATTATTGTGATGTATCAAACCTAAGCAGTTCAGAGTCATGTAAAAATTTTCACTAAGTGTAGGTTACCTAAATAGCCCATAAGGCCTGTATACAAATAAACATTTCCCCCTGTCCTTACTCTCCAAGGTGAAAAAAAAATGTTTTCTTTATCTGAACCATCTGAAGTGGATCGAAGAAGAAATAACTAACCCCAATTATTACCTATTTATCTTCCATAAGAATTAAAGTGTTGCTTGAAGCAGCTATTATATTCCCCCCCCACCAATTTTATAAATTTTCCTTGGAAAATACTGGTAATTGTTTTTACACAAGCTAAATAATTGCTGTAACATTTCTGAATACAAAATGGTTATATAGAATCTCTCCTCTAGTAGCTAGAATTGAGTCAGCAGTCATATGGCTCACAGATTATTTTTTATAAGAAATGTCTCATTGAGCCATTAAAGATATGTAATTAAAATATGTTTGCAAACATAAGAACTCCTTCCCAATTCTTGAATGCAGTTTGATTTTCATATTTATACTCCTCTCTTAAGATTTTCTTGGCAAATGTTTTGATGCCATATCTAGTCAATATTGACAGCAAGGATTCATATTACATGTAATTGGTCAGTGTAGACCCAATGTACACAAGGAAGAACATTTTTACACTGCCACATTAAGAAAGAAGGAACAGGTAATCCTAAAGATTGGACAAGAGTCCCCTCTATTAAATTGATCATATAAATAGCTTCAACATAATATAATTAAATCAGTTTACATATTTATTGCATGCCACCCCAATCACAGACTCTTGTAAGCTCCTAATAAGCACAAACATCATAAAGACATTATAAAACATAAAGTCTAAAAATGCCTAATAAATCCATATAATTGCCATGAAACATAACTATTAAAGACAGTATATAGCAGCTGGCAGCAGTTACCAAT